TGGTCTAGAGACAGATCGTTTACGCGAAATGCTTCTACGTGGACTGCGTGAGCGACTACGGTCGTTACGAAGATTAAGATATCGCGTGAGTGTATGACATAATTCGGTTATGTCATTCTGAGTCGTGTGAGGCTTTTCTTTGACGGAAAATACCTCTGAAGTAGATGATTTCGTTATTTCTAAAATACGATCGGCAGATGCAGCCAGCTCGTCTAAGGCGTTGTTCTGAAACGAGACCAGAACCGCTTGCACCTGTTGAGGAAGTTTAGACAAAAAAAGTTGTTTAAATAGACCTTCGTCGAAAGTCCTTAGACCTATCAATTCTCTCATTCTTTGCAACATGTCAGTCGCAGAACCGTGTTGCAGGTCGATGTTATTGAAGAGTTGATCTAACCTTTGTCGATCGGTTAGGTCTCCTCGTTTAAGAATCGAACGTTTCAAGATTTCGTAAGGATCGGAAACATCACTAGTAAACATACTAGATGTTACGTACCTGTTGAATTCGCGCGGTAGTGCCTTGACTACTGCGAGGAATTGTGCACGTGTGTCGATCACGCCGTGCTCGGATAAATCGGATTCTGCGTAGCAGAACCAGGCTTCGATATTGTCGGGCCAGAAAGGCATGAGTTGAAACGAAGGCGGGGACAAAGTCTTAAGCTTGAGTACTTTGGGTGTCTGTTCAGCCATGATGAAATATGAAGTACGATAATGAACGAGGGGAAAATATATATATATCCAAGGAAAAACACGAAAAAAAATCACAGTGTTTAAAAAAAATAAGGTAATCATATATAAAAATCCCAAAAAGGAACAAACTCACAGTTGCAATTAAGTGTACCAGATCACGACGGTCTCACCAATGAGGATGATACAGGTATTCAGTGTTTGACAACGCTTCTACCAGTAACACCTTCTAATATGCTTTGTTCCCACCGAGAGAAATCAAAAGACAGAGTCGAGGAGATCGGAAGAGTGTATTTGGCGATAACCAATATATCGGGAATCTCTGATCTAATCTGCTTAGTGATTGCGGTTGATGTTGAGCACAGCGTTACAGCACGTGATCTGGTGCGGATGCATGACCGAGCGCCTTCAGCTAGATGAGTCCACTAAAACATATGGTCAGCGTCCAATGTCGAAAACCTATAGAGCTATTTAGTTTAGGGATTTATTTACCGCTACAGATCACTCCCCCCCCTAGTGGGGCTGTGATGACCCTAAGACGTGGACAGCCAGAAGTTTAAACCCAACGAGTTTGTCGTTGGTAAACACTCTTCTGATAGCTTACTAAATTTAGCAGCGTCTGGTCGTCTTTCCTTACTATATGGGCCCGGGGTACAACATAGTAAAAAAAGAAATGTACAATGAAAATTTCGTATCCTCATAAACGTCATCGTTCTTTTCCAGCCGTCCTGGAAAAGAAGAAAGAAAATGTAATTGCATGTCAAAAATACACTCGTATGTGCGTAAAAAAGGGGAAATAAACTCATGAACACGTAACAGCGTTAAAAAAATCGTTTTTTTTAAAATAGAAATGAAAATATGTAAGCCTATTTAAAAAAATTTTTTAATAATATAGAAAATGTCGTGAAGTGCCTTACGTGCAATAGTCGTTTAAATGTTCTGGAAATCTCACTCTTCTTCCAGAACGCGTCGTTTTAAGTTTATTTTCGGATACTATCGAAGTATCATCGTGTGTGTTGGTTGTCGGATGAGGCATTATAAGTGTCGGAGTCGTGTCGTTCAATTGTACCGAAGGAAAATCCACGTAGATAGGATTTCCTTCTAAATACTCTGCTTTGAGGCGATCGATGCTGATGCTATCGTTGGTTCCGTTCTTATCGATTATATAGTACTTCGGTTCGCGTTGAAGAACTTTGAAAGGTCCTTCGTATGCTGATTCGAAAGGTCGTCGATGCGAGTCTCGACGAACGAAAACGTGTGTACTATATCGTAAGTCAGGTTGAACGAAAACATCAGTTGATTGAGGTCGAGTGGAAGCAGGTTTAACTGAACGCATTGCGTTTGTAAGCCTGTTCGTGTAGGAGGTTAGATCCATGTTCATTGAAGAGGATGAAGGATCCACGAATTCTCCTGGAAGTCGAAGTGTCGTTCCATAAAGGAGTTGAGCCGCAGTGTATCCAATGTCGGCTTTCACTGCATTGCGGATACCTAGTAAGACGAGTGGAAGAGCGTCGGTCCACTGTGAAACGTTTGCAGCTGATAGTGAAGCTTTTAGTTGTCGGTGAAAGCGTTCTACCAACCCGTTTGCTTGTGGGTGGTAGGCGGTCGTTCGGAAGCGAGTGCTTCCTAAAAGTGTGGTCAGACGACGGAAAAGCTCAGACTCAAACTGACGTCCGCGGTCTGTAGTGATGGTTGAAGGGCAACCGAAGTTTGCTACCCATCGTTCGACGAAGGTTCGGGCCACTGTTTCAGCAGTGATGTCCTTGATAGGTACTGCTTCTGGCCATCGAGTGAAACGATCTACGCAGGTTAAGAGGTAAGAGTATCCATTTGAATCTGGTAAAGGTCCTACCAAATCCAGATGAACATGGTCGAAACGAGCGTCGGGAGTTTTAAATGAGCCTAAGGGACATTTATTGTGTCTGATGACCTTAGATTTTTGGCAGCTTACACAGGAGAATGCCCACTCCCTCACGTCTTTATTCATACCAGGCCAGCAAAAACGTTCTGCTATGAGCTTGATGGTTGCACGGACACCTGGATGAGAAAGTTTGTGCAATGTGTTGAAGACATTGCGTCGATAATGTTTCGGGACGATTGGGCGATCTCTACCTGTAGATGTGTCACAAAGTAAGGTCTCCTTACCTGTTCCCATCTGTTTGATGCGTAGTTTAAGGGTTGTGGACGATAACTTTTGCTGAAGATCAGTGTCTTCTTTTTGAAGCTGGGCGAGTTTAAGAAGGTCGATTCCTTGGAAACTGTTCAAGGAATTTATTCGAGACAACGCGTCTGCAACTACATTGTTTGCTCCAGAAATATGTTGAATATCTGAAGTAAACTGCGAAATGTAGTCCAGTTGTCGAGACTTACGGGGAGAGTACTTGTCTGAAGAGGAGCTTAACGAGAAAGTGAGCGGTTTATGGTCAGTGAATAGAGTGAATTCACGGCCTTCGATATAGTGTTGAAAATGCCGTACAGCACAATACATAGCTGGGAGTTCCCTACCGAATGTACTGTATCTCGATTCGGTGTCTAGCAACCGTCTAGAGAAAAATGCCAAGGGTTGCCAGGAGTTGTTAACCCATTGTTGTAAGACTCCTCCGATTGCCGAGTCGGATGCGTCTACTGCGATACTAATGGGTGCTCGAGTGTCCTGATGTGCGAGCATTGTGGCTTTAGCGATCAGTTCCTTAACTGTGGAGAGTGCTTTTCGTGCGGTGTCGTCCAAATTAATGGATTTCGCATTTCCACGAAGTTGGTCAGTAAGAGGTTTCATAAGTAATGCGCATTTCGGTATGAAGCGTCAATAGAAACTTACCAGGCCGTTGAACGTGCGTAATTGCTTGACGTTGGTCGGTTCTGGGTAATCCAGAATGGCCGCCACTTTGGTCCTAAGAGGTCGAATGCCTTGAGCATCGATAGTGTGTCCTAGGAAATCTAAGGAGTCGGTTCCGAATTGGCATTTCTGAACGTTTACAGTAATGCCATGTTTTTGTAATCGTTCGAAAACAAGATCCAGATGCTTGAGATGTGATTTTCTGTCCGGACTTGCGATTAAGCAGTCATCAACATACGCATGTACGAAGTTGAGACCTCGAAAGACATCGTCAATGAATCTTTGGAATGTTTCTTAGACCGAACGGCATTCGCAAAAGTTCATAGAGTCCAAAAGGAGTTATGATAGCTGTTTTCGGTATGTCGTTAGTAGCCATAGGGATTTGGTTATACGCTTTAACCAAGTCGATTTTCGAAAAGACAGTTGTACCTTTCAAGGTAGCTGTCAAATCGTGAATGTGAGGCAACGGGTAACGATCGGGAATGGTTTTTGCATTCAATCGCCGATAGTCACCAGTTGGACGCCAATCGCTGCTGTCCTTTTTAGGGACCATGTGCAACGGAGATGCATAAGGGCTGTTTGACGGTCGTATGATTCCTAAGTCTATCATGTGATCGAATTCGTTTTTCGCGAACCTTACCTTTTCAGGAGCTAGTCGTCGTGCTTTAGAGAATACAGGTGGTCCTGTAGTCGTGATGTGATGTGTAACATTGCTGGTTACACACGGTAGTTTCGGTTGAGTTTGTTGTATCCCAGGGTACTTATCGAGTAGTGGTTGATAGAGTGGGTCTATCGAATATTTAACTGTGACTGGGGATAATCTACAACCAGAAAAAGAAGTTACACAAACGGATAAATTAGTGTTTCCATCTACTAGCCTCCGTTTGCGCGTGTCGATGATTAGATTATGGTGTTGTAGAAGATCCATACCAATGATTGGCATAGAAACATCTGCAACAACGAAAATCCAATGAATGGGTTTGCGTAAACCCACGTTAAGGTAGACGTGTAACAGCATAGGTTGGTTGGTTAAGAGTTGACCCCAAACAACCAAGCATATGCCAAAACAGTATTGTTCAAGTATTCATTCACTTCCTTATTTTGTATAAGCGTTATATTCCTTATTATCTTATATTGAATGCTGAAAGCCTTTGTTTGTCTGAACAGATAATCCCACGCTTCACTGTGACTGCGCTAAGATCGAAATAAAGACCTATTCACTTCTTGTCTGGCTTCTTCTATCAATAGCACGAGGGTTACCTATAGTCACGAAACTGGTGAGCCCTTTTTGAACACAAATTAACCTCATTTTTGTTATTAATATTATTTTTTTTTACTCAATCGTAAAAGTAGACCTGATAATCCGTAAACTAAGTTGGGTATATAAATAGTTTTTTTTTTTTATTATCTTAAGTTATTCGTGTCATAGAAACCTTTTTTTTTTCGTGCTAATTTTGTTGCTATATTTGTCACATACCTCATGTCAGACTTAGAAGAAACCCATAATCTGGAGGATTTGTCACCAGTGGAGATAGACACTGTTATGACTACGAAATCTCGACTTCCAGAATTTGATCGTAGTGATCCTGAGTTGTGGTTTGCTCAACTCGAGCATTATTTCACGAGACACAATATCAAATCTGAAGGGATTCGCTATAGAGATTTGTGTTCTATCCTTCCTCCTTCAGTCGCCAAAGAAGTCCGTGACTTGATTTTAGATCCACCATCACCACAACCGTACACCATCTTAAGACGAGAGATAATGAACCGTTTATCATTATCAGATAGTCAAAGAATCCAAAGACTTTTTCAAGGTGAAACACTAGGTGATCGGTCGCCGTCACAATTTCTACGTCACCTCCAAGTCTTAGTGGGTGATAACACAGTGGGTGAAGCAGTCCTAAAACAAGGATGGATACAAGCTCTCCCATGCTACGTCCAACATTGTTTGGATGCACAAGATCCTGAAACCTCATTATCTCATTTAGCGCGTATAGCTGATAGAATAATGGAAAGAGGTCCTCCAACTGGATCAGGCACAATAAATCACACACAGAAAGTAGAATCAGCAAAAGACCCCGTCATAGAAGGACTCATTGCGAGTGTTAAGAGTCTCACTGAGGCTGTCACCAGAATGCAAATGAGTCATACAAACAGGAGCAGGTCACCACAACGATCACGATCCAAGTCACAAAATAGGTCACAAATGTCCAGACAATCTGGGCAGTTTTGTTGGTACCACTGGAAGTTTGGTGTCGACTCAACCAAGTGCAGGCAACCATGCGCCTGGCCTAAGCATAATTCCAAGACAGCGGGAAACGAGTAACCCCTCCCCAGGTCGCGACAACTGAGGAGGGGCGCCTAAACTGTCGCTTGTTTTATGTCAGAGACAGAAACTAGGGCTTGAATTTCTTGGTGGACACTGGCGCTGCTCTTAGCATCATCCCTCGAAATAAAACTGAGATTAGTCGAGAAACATCCCCGATTACACTTCAAGCTGCAAATAAAACTACAATCGCGACATTTGGGCAGAAAACGTTAACCCTAGATTTGGGGTTCAGAAGGCAATTCCCTTGGGTTTTCACGGTAGCCGACTTAGATCTGGCAATACTGGGGATGGACTTTCTAGAGAGATACGAATTTCTAGTTGACACCAAGAAACGGCGATTAACACTAAAAGAAACTTCGTTTTACACAAAAGGCAAAGAAAGTCACATCAGCTCTCTTAACTTGATTCAAACCCCTCCAGTAACAACAGCGAAATTCCAAGATATACTCGCGGAATTTCCAAACTTAACCAAACCAAACCCACAGCCTTCCAAAGACAAACTAAAAGTAAGTCACACTATCAAAACCGAAGGTGCACCGGTGTTTGCAAAACCCAGGAGACTAGCACCAGATAAGCTCAAAATCGCTAGAGCCGAGTTTGATTATATGCTACAACTGGGTATTATCCGTCCCTCTGATAGTCAATGGGCATCCCCTTTGCATATGGTCCCAAAGAAGAATGAAGGTGACTGGCGACCGTGTGGGGATTACAGAGCCCTCAACCGTCAAACCGTACCAGATAGGTACCCAATACCGCATATACAAGATTTCACAAACGGTTTACAGGGTATGAACATATTCACCAAAATTGACTTAGTCAGGGCATATCACAATATCCCGGTGGCTGATGAAGATATCCCTAAGACAGCTATTACAACACCCTTCGGCTTATTCGAGTTTGTACGCATGCCATTCGGCCTGAGAAATGCGGCACAGACATTTCAAAGATTCATAGATAACCTACTTCGAGATATGCCATTTGCGCAGGGGTATATAGACGACTTGTTAATTGCCAGCCCCAATTTGCAATCACACGAAGAGCATGTACGAGCAGTGTTGAAAAGATTGAATGAACATGGAATAAACATACATCAAAGTAAGTGTGTTTTCGGTGTTCAAACTTTAGAATTTCTTGGTCACACAATAAGCCCAGAAGGGATTAAACCTATAAAAAAAGAAGTGGATACCATCAAACAATACCCGATACCTAGCTCTCTAACACAAATGAGAAGTTTTCTAGGTCTAATTAACTTTTATCGCAGATTCATACCAGGTTGTGCACAATTAATGCAACCTTTAACAGATTCACTTAAAGGAAAACCAAAAGAATTCAAACTGTCTTCTGACGCCGTCGAAGCTATTAAACAGCTTAAAGATAAACTGGCTCAAGCAACTACGTTGATATATCCGAATTCTCTTTCCCCACTTGCTTTGATGGTGGATGCTTCAGATAAAGCAATAGGCGGTACCCTTAACCATCTGGTTAAAAACGCCTGGAAACCAATTGCTTTCTTCTCGAAAAGACTCGCTCCAGCTGAGACAAGGTATTCTACCTTCGGGCGAGAACTTCTTGCAATCTACCTGACTATTAAACACTTCGGAAACATGTTAGAAGGTAGGGAATTTATAGTCTTTACGGATCACAAACCACTGACGAATGCATTACAAGCGAGAGCCGATAAGTACTCACCTCGAGAAGTCCGACACCTTGACTATATATCACAGTTCACAAGCGATATCCGACATGTCAAAGGTCAGGACAATCAGGCGGCAGATGCTTTATCCAGACTAGAAATGAACGTGGTACAACAGTCTACAGTAAACTTCGAGACGTTGAGACACGAACAAGAGCAGGACCTAGAATTACAAAACCTACTCAAAACAAACAATTCAAGTCTTAATTTAAAACAGTTCCCATCACCTATCGATGGTATTCTAATTTACTGTGACACGACCAAGGCAATGCCGCGACCTTTCGTTCCCAAAAATATGCGAAAGTTGATATATAATAACTTTCATTCTTTGTCTCATCCTGGAGCAAAAGCTTCAACTAAACTAATCAATGCTAGATATATATGGCCGAATTTACAGAAGGATGTACACAAATGGGTTAGAGAGTGTTCAGCATGCCAACAATCAAAGATTAATCGTCACACAAATTCACCCATAGGTGTTTTCTCGCAACCAGATGCACGTTTTGCACATGTGCATATCGACTTGGTAGGTCCTTTACCACGTTCAAACGGTTTTAATTATCTTTTTACATGCATAGATCGATTTACCAGATTCCCTATAGCCATCCCGATAGGGGACATCACAGCGGAAACAGTAGCCAAAGCTTTCATGCAGAACTGGGTAACCATTTTTGGTACACCCATAACAATAACGACGGATAGAGGAGCGCAATTCGAATCCGAACTATTTAATAACTTGGCTAAACTTCTAGGCTCTAACAGGATACGCTGCACTGCATATCATCCTCAGGCTAATGGGATGGTAGAACGTTTTCACCGTCAGCTAAAAACCGCCCTTATATCTCACTCAAACCCCAATCAGTGGACAGAATTCCTACCTTTAGTTATGTTGGGAATACGAACATCTGTCAAAACTGACGCACAATGTTCAGCTGCGGAACTGGTTTTCGGAACAACTCTGAGACTACCAGGTGAATTTATTAACCCTAATACTAACAGTCAAAAACTTAATTTAGAAAATTACGTAGATCAACTACGGGACCATATGTCCAAACTTAAACCAATTAATACTCGCGAACAATCGCGCGCCGTATATGTACCTAAAGACCTAAGCAATTGCACGCACGTCTGGATAAGATGTGATAAAATAAAATCACCACTCAGTCCTCCATTTGAAGGTCCTTTCAAAGTCGTCTCAAGAAAATCTAAATATTTCGTGATAGAAAAACATGGAAACATCGACACAATAAGTATTGATAGGCTAAAGCCGGCTTATCTAGATCATGAACCACCATACGTATTGTTAGATCGTTTAACTGACAAATCCATTACGGAATCGAAATGTAAAGATGATAAATCTTTACAAATGACTAAAACGGTTCACTGGGCACATCCAATTAGTCAGTCAAGGATGTTGACAGTTTCGGCTGCAGGATAAAATCTAACCACGTAGCTAATCAGACCCTGCATCTACTCAAAAATATTTTTCCCCTCATTCCGCCTCACCTACAACTCCCTAGACCTTTTACCTTTGATATATAAATGTTATGTTAAATTTTTTTTTAAATACTGGACACATAAGCTAGGTATTCCGAAACGATGGCTGAGGATTTTAATCAAACTCATACAACTAACACTGGCAAATACAACGAATTCACAAAGCAACCCAGGCGAGTTTTATAATTTCTTTTTCTGGTTAATTAACTATGTTGGCTGTACTCCTTATATATCTTTATACATTTTTCACGTAGACTGGCAATACATATATACAATATGAACTACTTCTAAGAGTTTCCGGTCGAAGATATGTTTAGTAGCTTGATACGATTAATACTACTATTAATAAGTGGTTTTCTAGACAAAACATTTTGGATTAAACCATGGCCAAGTACTTATTAAAGTTCTCATCATTTTTTTTCATGTTTAGGAAACTTATATAATGACTTAACCAGTTTTCCTGCAGCATGCTTTTTAGTGTGATCATATAACCCATCTTTATTGGCAATATTCAGATTTTTTTTTTAAATTCTGACATTTAAGAATCAATAACCGTGGAGATATAGTACAGTGCGTTACTGTAAGGTTACTATGTTAGCCGCATTGATTCCGCATACCTAATTTTAAACACAACTTATAAAGGAACTCTTAAGTAATCATAACATTGAACTAACGATATGACTATCATAACTATGTTAACGTTAAACCAATTATTATTAGTGGTCCTGACAAAACCCTGGAACTTAACACTAGCGTTATAAAAAAGACATGTTATGTCAGTAACTTTTATATATATATATACTTTTTCTCTCGGTTTAAATATAACGTAAAATGGAAATTACAAAACTTGTAGATTTTTTTTTCTATGGTATTATTAGTAATCCAAACAAAGAACGTGTACTGTTCCAACATGGCATTCTGATATATCAACCAGTCCTCCTGTTATTTTTCTCTCATATCTGAGCAACTTATGGCCAATAAACATCGTATTGAAGGGGGTTTCGATGAACAAAAACGCATGACCCACACGCACTCGAACCTCAGCCCTTCTGAATGCTAGACCGCGTGCCTAGCCATTAGGCCACATCAGACCACGAGGGGTGACTGCAATCTTTCCTTTTACCGATTATTCATTCATAATACTAATGAGTAATAGGACTTACACACTTCTAAGGTGCAGACAAATTCGTTACTTTGATGAATTGACGAAATATTGCCTCAGTATATCATTTATATTTAAATCAAACCAGAAAAGAGTATTTGACACAACTGTACTTGATCCTCATACTCTACACAATTTTCTCCCCTCTTTAACCGTATATTCTCTTCCGTTTTATGGAGTAAAATTATGCACCCTTGGTTACGTACCTGGTTAGAAAAGGCGGTTGTCACATTCCCAAGGTCACACATTTGAACAGGTTTGACAATGAGTCCAACTTCTAGCAAGTTTACACTTTTACATTTATACATTATAAAAAAGGATTTTATTTGTTTTCATACCTTTTCGTACACAAGATGGCTACACTATGTCTATTTTCTTCCAGAATACCAATCCGTTCTGGAGGCCAATCACTTACGTGGAACCGAACAATTATCAATTATGTTTATGTATTTCCATTTTGTATCTTATTATTTTGATGCAGGCAGTGGAGCGGTTCTTTAGGTTTGATTGATTTTCACCATTACCTTTGAAGTAGATTCTTCTTTACTTTTTACTTGAGGGCGACTCAAGAGGCAGGTGAGTAAACACCTGATAGCCGGTCTGAGCATGGAAAAATCGTACCTCACCAACATGGTGTTGGGTAGC